TGCATTCTTTGTGTTCTATTTACATATGATGTAGTTATATTTACTCAATACTGTTATTAAGGTGCATATAAGAATAACATTTTTACATAGCTTTTTGGTCCTTCTGTAACTCTGTTCTTCCTCTTGCTGTTGTCCTACTCTATGGTCACTTGGTTTAATAATAAATCCATATCCATTTTTGGAGGTTCATTTTTTAAATTCTGAATGGATTTGTATCTGCTCCATGCAGAGAAGTCCATAAACGAATCTGTGTTGCTGGCTCTGATCCTACGATTAAGGAGTCTCCGATTGAACCCAAGTGGTCCTCAAAAGGTACCCTTTTTCTATAAAAAAAAATTATTGGTTGATGAACATATTTAAGTTTGGAATGTATTATTAAAGGCTCATGCTAACAAGGTATGATATACTGAACTTACTACAAGTATTGGGTACATCTATTAGCAGGGAAAACCCATATGTGCATCCTTTGCTAAAAGGGGAACTTATTTTATCTTTGTAAAGCACTGGTGGGGGTCAACAATTTTGAATACCAATATTTTATCGATTAAGGATCACATTCCATGACTAACTCTTGGCAGTTACTATTCACAATTGAACACTTCAAGTTATGTGGTTTCTTAGATTCTACCAATTTCTTTCACTCTTGTTTATTCTGTATGGTGAAATTTATATATTACAATTTCAATTATTAAGATAGGCAAAAAACTGTTGAACTTATTGGTTATGCTTGAATCGTGCAGGGGAGCTATTTTTTATTACTGACAGACAAAGTGGGTACTGGAATCTCTATAAATGGGTAAATTTTGTACTTTAACATTTCTGTCTGGCTTATTTATTGCAAATAATAAGAACAATATACTTCATTTAACATTTGTTTGGACATGCTGCCTAGTTAGACAACAGATTTTCCTTTTTATTTTTTTATTTTCTTAATCAGACAGCTGTATTCAGAATCAAATAACACTATACTCAATTTTTTGTTGCTTGAACATGCCGCCTAGTCAGACAACAATTATTTCGCGTCAATTGACATTAATTATCATGTATACATTTTCTTAATTCACTTTTGCTTTATCAACAGGTTGAGTCTAACAATGAGGTCCTATCAGTTTATTCCTTGGATGCTGAGTTTTCTAAACCGCTATGGGTTTTTGGCATCAATTCTTATGAATTTATTCAGAGCCATGAACAAAAAAACGTAATTGCTTGCAGCTATAGGTAAGAATTATTTGTGGATGTTTTGCGTTAATCTTGTTTTGACTTGTAATTTGCAAAAATGATCAACTATGCAATTTAGTCTAGCTTAAGTTTGGATGTTTGCATGCAGGCAGAATGGGAGGTCATATCTTGGAATTCTGGATGATGCTCAGGGCTCACCATCTCTGCTTAACATTCCTTTCACGGATATTGATAATATTGTACTTCTGAAAACCTTATTTTCACTAAGTTTCTGTGCTAAAGTTGTTAATTATCTGACTTGATTGTAGATTTTAAAAATTTTCATATTTGTCTACGCAGACTTTGGGGATCAATTGCCTGTACGTGGAAGGAGCATCAGAAGTTGATCCGTTGTCTGTTGCTAAGGTGTTTACCATATTTTATGTCTTATTGTAAAATACCTCTTCCTATTGTCAGGCAAGGGTCACGTCTCCAATTTTTTTTTCTTTCTTGCAGGTGACTTTGGATGAAGATAAATCGAAAGCAGTTGATTTCAAGATTATTTGGTCTTCTTCACCTGATTGCTTAAAATACAAGTCTTACTTCAGCCTACCTGAATTAATTGAATTCCCAACAGAAGTTCCTGGTCAAACTGCCTTTGCATACTTTTATCCACCATCAAATCCCAATTACCAAGCTACTCATGATGAAAAGCCTCCATTGTTATTGAAAAGCCATGGTACGTGTGATTTGAATTTTCGTAGTTATAATTCCTAAATGGTCTTGAGGCATTTAGTTTGAAATATAGTTATGCACTTTCTGAAAGGATGACAGGTGAGTCTTTCATTTTAAAAAGGATTACACTATTTATAGGTTTCAACAAGTTATTTAGATCAGGGAACAATGGAACATACAGTATTATATAGCAGAGTAGATCATTTCAACCGTAATTTACCTATAGTAGTAACATTAGAAGTACGCTTGTGCAATGCCTTTTAGTTAGGTGCCCTTTGTAGTCAAATATGTCTGTTCTCTTCAATGTATAGTTTAGCTGTTCTTATAAACAGAATTCATTACAACTTTGTTTTTCTTTGATTTACTACAGGAGGGCCCACAGCTGAATCACGTGGAATCTTAAATCTGAGTGTTCAGTACTGGACTAGTCGTGGTTGGGCATATGTTGACGTTAACTATGGTGGAAGCACTGGTTTGTTCTTGGCCTTGTGTTGTTTATTTATTTTATCTTTATGAGATCTTTTTGCTGCATATTCATAGCACTAGTAAGACAGCCCCTCGTCTGTCAATCCTGAGTTTATGCTATCTCTGATTACACTCTATATTTCAAACTCATTTACTATATTTGCTTATTTTTTTACTTTTCACATGGGTGGTTGTTGATGGAGTTAATTTGGCCAGTAAAAGATTTGCCTTTCAAATTATATTCCTCTATATCTTAGACAGTGGGTTTTAAGGTTATGGCAGGGAATATCGTGAACGACTCTTGAAGAAATGGGGAATTGTGGATGTAGATGATTGTTGTAGTTGTGCTAAATATCTGGTATTCATTTAATCTCCCCTACCTAAATGGTCATGATTAACTTAATAGATCATCCATCAAGCCAGGGTAATATATACTTTTTTATCTAGGTGGGTTCTGGAAAGGCGGATGGGGAGCGGCTTTGTATTACTGGGGGCTCTGCAGGTGGCTACACAACCTTAGCTGCTCTTGCTTTTAGAGACACCTTCAAGGCAGGCACTTCCTTGTATGGCGTGAGTGCCTAACTCTTTACTTGGTTTTATTATTAATTTTATTTTGTCTCTCTTAACCAATCCCTCGGTTTTCTATTAACTAGAGAACTGAGGGATGGGTCATATTATTTGCATTATGAAAGACTATGTTGTATACGAATATTTCAGATTTGGCCTCCTCTTTGGGGAATCTCCTGTATTCTTCACTTTTATATGCGAACATTTTTTCTGAAGCTTGATAGAAATTTAATACTTCTCTCTCTCTTTTTCCTATATATATATTTTTAATTTATTCTCTTATTAACTAATATCCTTCTACATTGCACATAATTCTCTATGAACTATAAAACCGAATTTTCTTTGTTTATTTGGTCCCTGAGCAGGTAGCCGACTTAAACATGTTGAGGGCAGAAACTCACAAATTTGAATCTCATTATATTGATAATCTCGTTGGTAAGTTAGACGATGACATTGGGTGCCACCGTGCTATATTTAGTTCTTTTATTGTTATTGATGTGAGACAATTTTAACTGGTTGCAGGCAGTGAAAAGGATTACTATGATAGGTCACCAATCAACTTTGCTGATAAGTTTTCTTGCCCGATAATCTTGTTCCAAGGATTGGAAGACAAGGTAAGCAGATCTTTCCCGATAATCTTTTTCTTTTCTTTTTCTTTTACCCTTCTATCAGCAGTCACCATGTAATAAAACGAGGCATTTGTTTAATTCAATGGTGGTATTTTTGGGTTATATTTATGAGTTTATGAATACGATTTACTTTGTAGGTTGTAGCCCCAGATCAAGCTCGTAAAATATACAAAGCTTTGAAGGAAAAGGGTTTGCCTGTTGCTCTTGTGGAGTACGAAGGAGAACAACATGGTTTCCGTAAGGTATTTTCTGTTTAAATTTTCCATCTTGATGTATTAAGTAACAAATCGAAATGATTGGAATGAGTAGACTGATGTATTTTTACATGCACAGGCTGAGAACATCAAGTTCACGCTGGAACAGCAAATGGTTTTCTTCGCACGTTTAGTTGGACGCTTCAAGGTCGCTGATGAGATTAATCCGATCAAAATTGACAACTTCGATTAAACATGTAGTAAAGAGAGATGCCTCGTGCCCGAATCTCAGTCTCAGTTTTCATACGATGAATTAGGTTTTACAGGTTTGCTTCTTCAAGAGATTTTTGTGCCGTCTGAGAAGCACAAACAAATTTCTAGTTTGAAGGAACTTGTAGATCTCCTATTACACCTACATGTATGCATGTGCAATAGTTACCTTGTTATGTCCAACGTGAGAAATATGAATTTAACTATGTTTAACATGTTCTCTGGTTTATTATGCCACGTTCGATGTCAAGTTTGTCACGGTCCTTTTGCGTTGACTCGATGTACATATGACACGTGTAAATTTTAAACCCCTGTGTGAAGTTTGTATCGAAGCAATTCTGTTTCCTTATGGGCTTTGATGATATGTATTCGTTTCCATTAACATATTTCGAGAATCATTCGATGTTCTGTGCAAAGTGTTGTGATCAGTAACGTAAGGAGGATCACAAGTTTCATCAATGGCAGAATGGAAGCCCAAAATGTGATTTGAATAAAATGTTGCTTTTCTCGTTTGGTGGCTCGGCAGGGTCTAGGTTATAATTGAGTTATGAGTTGCACACCACACAAAATGTTGTGCAATTTTATGTGTCTAATTTCAGAATTTATTCACCAAAAACAAAAACATGAGTCTCATCTCATGGGATGGTGAGTCTCGTCTCCATCTGCAACTTTTCTTATTTTACTTTAGTACAAGCTATAGGCCAAACTATGAGGGAAAGAAGTGTTTTTCAAACACACTATCAAGGTGTAATGGGGTTCAAATATGAAATTACTAGTCTACAAGTCAAGTTAAAGCCCTTTTGTATCGAGTTAGTTCCAGTTGGCTCTTATTTTATTTTTTATATTTCCTTTTCGTGTCACAATTGATAAAAAAAAATTCCTTTTTTCACTGGGATAAACCCTATTGACCGGTAATTTCATAATTAAGTAATGAATAAATGGATTGGATTCTCTTTTATTTTAGGTATGCTTGAGTGGACATTTGGACACATATGAAAAGGGAACAACGTGGCAGTAAAGATGAGGTGGCGACTGTCGAATCGAGTGAGGTGGCGAGTGTTTCTGAGGAGATGATGAGTCAAATGGCTTTCTTCCTCGGTCCTCCTCCTCATCATCGTCATACAGACATACACATACGCCCTCCTCAACTTCAACATATCAGTAAGTTAGTAAACCATTGAATTTGATCATCGCCAGCAGCCAGAGTGAGTCTCCCTCCCAACTAAAATGCAGGACCTCAAGCCAACGGCTACTTCTCCTTTGGAAGTTAAGCAAATCACAGCTCCCTATGGCTCCTGGAAATCTCCCATCACCACCGACGTCGTCTCCACCGCCTCCAAGCTACTCGCTGGCACCGCCGTCGATTCCCTCGGCCGCCTCATCTGCCTCGAGTCTCGCCCCAATGAATCCGGGTACGTCTGTTTTCTATCTCTACATTAATTGAAATTTGAGTCTTTCATGCTCACGGTCATTGGTCACGGTCATGAGGGTATTTATTTATTTATTTACAGACGAATGGTGGTGGTGAGAGAACCGGAGAGGGCAGGGGAGGGACCCGTTGATATTACCCCCAAGGAGTATGCGGTGCGCACAGTGGCTCAGGGCTCCGAAAGTGGCGGTGCCTTCAGAGTTTCAGCGGATACAGATACCCTAGTTTTCTCCAATTACAGCGACCAACGCCTTTACAAGCAGTCCTTAACTTCTTCCACTATTGATATATATATATATATATATTATTATACATGAAATGCTTATTTGAAATTAAGCTGCTATATTTAATTGATTTTGTTTTTGTTGTTGTTGTTGTTGTTGTGAAATGCCTGTCTTTACCAGATTCTTCTCCTACACCACTCACTCCGGATTATGGTGGACCAATTGTGAGTTACGCTGATGGGATGTTTGATGCCCGCTTAAATCGTTATATAACTCTGCGGGAAGGCATGTCATCCCTCCATTTTTACTACTATAAAGGCATTTATGTATGTGTCAAATGTCAATCCAATCTCTCTCTTTTGAATGTGTGTAGATGCTCGTCAAAGCACCGGTGATCCCATCACAACAATCGTAGCAGTAGAGCTTGACAGCACGGATATTCGGGGTAAATTTATTAAGAGTTTGTCAAAACTAAACCCATGTCCCTATAACATTGATGTACCGAGGACTGATGTTTATTGCGTAATGTGGGTGGCACCATGTGGCATCCAGAACCAGAAGTACTAGTAGGTGGAAGCGACTTCTATGCCTTCCCTCGTCTGGACCGCAAAGGTGAACGATTGGCATGGATTGAGTGGTCTCATCCCAACATGCCATGGGATAAAGCTCAACTCTTGGTTGGCTACATATCTGAGATAGGGTAAGCTAATTTCTTCTCGGGATGACGTAGTGCTTCTTTCTGCGATGATACGTGCTTTTGCTAGCAGGGTTAATTAATCTTCTTGGTTCTTTCATACAGAGAAGTCTACAAACGTATCTGTGTTGCTGGCTGTGATCCTGCAATCAGAGAGTCTCCAACTGAACCCAAGTGGTCATCTAAAGGTGATTTTATTTATTTATTTACTTGGTTGAGGAGCAAATTTCAACTTGAAGTGTCATTATTAAAATATCATACTTGATAGATACTTGACTGAACTTCATTGAGTACAAGTATCCATTGCATCTCTGTTGAGGATAAATATACATTCTTAAGAAAAAGGGAACTCCTTTCATGTTTGGAAAGTACTGGTGGGATCAACAATCTTATTGTTCATACAATCGCTTCAAGATAAGAGTTCCTTGACTAATTTTGGCTTTTACTGCTCAAATAGAATACCTCAAGGTATCTGCTTTTGTTTGCTATTACTCTATCCAAGAAAATTTTGAACTTTCATTTGTTTCATTCATGCTATGCTTTAATTGGTTATGCTTGAGTGGTGCAGGGGAACTATTTTTTATTACTGACAGACAAAATGGGTATTGGAATCTGTATAAATGGGTAATTTTCTTACTTTAACATTTCTGTTTGCCTTGATCTATATACTGAAATTTTACGATACTTAAACATTTTGTGTAGTTGAACAACAGTTATTTGGTGTTAATTGGCATTCATCATTTTATGTCTTCCTAATTCAGATTTTCTTTGACAACAGGTTGAGTCTAATAATGAGTTGATATCTGTTTATTCTTGGGATGCTGAGTTCTCCAGACCATTATGGAATTTTGGAATGAATTCTTATGAACTTATTCAGAGCCATGAGCAAAATATCTTAATTGCTTGCAGCTATAGGTAGGAAAGTTAGGTTTGGCTGTATTGTGTTTATCTTGTACTTGTAAATGATTATTGTCTATCTGCTTTAGTCAAGAAATGAGTTTTGGATGTTTACATGTAGGCAAAATGGAAGGTCATATCTCGGAATTCTGGATGATGTTCAGAGCTCATTCTCTGTGCTTAATATTCCTTTCACGGATATAGATAATATTGTACTTCCAAAAATCTTATGCTCATTAAGTTTATGTGCTAAAGCAGTTAAGTATTTGACCGGCCTATACATTTCAAAACTTGCATATTTGTCTATGCAGACTTTAGGGATCAATTGCCTATACGTGGAGGGAGCATCAGAAGTTCATCCACTGTCTGTAGCGAAGGTGTTTTGCTATCTTCGATGTCCCATTTTACAATACCTCTTTCTGATGCAGCATATAATGGTGAAGGCTATTGTTGTGCATTAGGCCACTTCTGTTTCGTATCTTTAAACCTTTCTCTTTTGGCGTAGGTGACTTTAGATGACCATAAATCAAAAGCAGTTGCATTCAAGATTATTTGGTCTTCTTCACCTGATTGTTTAAAATACAAGTCCTACTTCAGCTTACCCAAAGTTATTCGATTCCCAACAGAAGTTCCTGGTCAAACTGCCTTTGCATACTTTTACACACCATCAAATCCTGATTACCAAGCCACTCATGAAGAAAATCCTCCACTGTTATTGCAAGCCCATGGTATGCTATGATTTAAAAGTTTCCTAGTTATAATAGCTAAGTTTTCCATATTGGGGCATTTCGTTTGCAAATGTTGCTCTGCAATTCCTGGGATGATGCAGGTGAGCCTTTCAGAGCTAGAGGACAATATTATCTACTTGTTGCAATGAAAAGATACTTCATTCAGGGAAGATAGGATAATTTATTGCGAAGGAGACTATTTCCCACCTACATTATCTACATTAACCGTGCTTATTCAATGCCTTTTCATTACGTGCCCTTGTTGGAGTTATCCGTTCTCTCAAATGAATAGTACTATAGTTTAGCTGTTTTTGTGAATTTATTTGTTATAGCAGTGTTCTTCTTTGATTTACTGCAGGAGGACCCACATTTGAATCACGCGGAATCTTAAATCTGAGTATTCAGTACTGGACTAGTCGGGGTTGGGCATTTGTTGCTGTTAACTATGGTGGAAGCAGTGGTTTGCTTTTAACCTTATATTGTAGTTTATGCTTGTTATTTCGTTTTCATGGGATCTCTTTATTGCACAATGATTGTTCAGGAGTCTTTTGATCCTGAGTTTATGAATCCTCTTATTACTGTCAACATTTCAATCTTTTTGATCTTTTCAAATTATATTCCATCATATCTTAGACAATGGGTTTTAAGGTTATGGCAGAGAATATCGTGAAAGGCTCTTGAGGAAATGGGGGATTGTGGATGTAAATGACTGTTGCAGCTGTGCTAGATATTTGGTATTCATTTTATCCTAGACGTTGATGAATTTGGTAGAGCACCCATCAAGCCATGGTAATATATATTTTTGTTATCTAGGTGGATTCTGGGAAGGTAGATGGCAAACGGCTGTGTATTACTGGGGACTCTGCAGGTGGTTATACAACCTTGGCTGCTCTTGCTTTTAGAGACACCTTTAAGGCAGGAGCTTCCTTGTATGGTGTGAGTGTCTAACTCTATACTAAGTTTACTATTCATTTGTGGACAGTGATATCAGAAGGAACCAGTGGTTATATTATTGCATCATGTAAAATTATGTTACAGAATAATCTTTCTGACTAGGCCTCTGCTGCGGTGAATGTTCTGTACTCTTCCCTTTATATACTAACTTTGCTTCTTGAAGCTTGATGACACATTAATACTCTAATTCCGTTCTTTTTTCCCTTTTATATCATTAACTGATATCCTTTTACATAACATAGTATACGCTATGAACTAGAGAAGTGACAATTTTTTTGGGTCATATTGGTCCATGAACAGATAGCTGACTTGACAATGTTGAGGGCAGAAACTCAAAAATTTGAGTCTCACTATATTGATAATCTTGTTGGTAAGTCAGAAGATGACATTTGAGGCTTTACTTTATTGATGCCATGAAGTTGAAGCAAACATAATTGGTTGCAGGTAGTGAAAAGGATTACTTTGAAAGGTCGCTGATCGGTGCATATTTACATATCATTTTGTACCCTTCTAGCTTATGATTTGGTTATGTTTTTGAGTTAAACTTGTGCTTTTAATCCTTTTTGTGTTTATCTTTCAGTTCATTGAGCTTTAGGTAATAATGAGGGCTTTGGATAGTAAATGATGCAATCCATGCATGTTAGGGCCTAATTTGGATGAATGGATGAAGAGCTTAAAGACAAACTCAATTTTGGCTACAGTCCCCTGCCAGCCCAGTTTCGTAGGTCATATTGCAAGCTTTGTTTCAGCAACCTACATAGCTCGGATGAGGCCACATTCTTCATGAAAGTTGTTCCAATGGGTGTGTAATATAACATATCCAAAATTCAGCCCCATTGGATAAATATGGAGTCTGTTAACTAGCAAACACAGAGCCATGCTCAGGATGGATTTTATCAGCGCGCAAAATGAGTTAGCAATTTGTTTTGGCCTTAACTTCC